TGGTGCGGTGGTTCCCGCAGATCAGGCACGGCATCTTGCCCTTGGCCGCCCGGCCCGCGGCCGGCGCCGCCCGGCCCAGCTTGCGCAGCAGGCTGTTGAAGCGCCACTTCTCCTTGCCCGCCTTGGCGCACAGGATCTCGGCCTGGCCCATCAGCGTCAGCTCGTCCCCCGCGTGCAGCGTGAAGTTGTACACCTCGCTGTCCTCGCTGAACTCCCCCGACACCACCTGCGGGGCGGCACGGGCAGCCGGGGGTTAAACGGGGGCTAGAGGGCGGCAAATGGGTTAACTGGGCCTCTGTGGAGGCGGGGAGGTACCGGGGCAGCAAGGGGTTAAACGGGAGGTGGAGGCTGGGAATCCCAAGGGCACTAAGGGGTTAAAAAGGGCCACTGAGGCAGCCTGGCCTAGTGGTGGGGGTGACCAGGAAGCCCCAGGGCAGCGAGGGGCTCAGAGGGGTTCGTGGGTCCAGTAGCGGGAGCTCACGGGGGCCCCACGCAGCCGCCCCCCCCCCTGCCACCCCGCGCCGACCTTGACGCTGAAGGTGATGGCCTCCATGACGAAGACGCGGTCCGGGAAGGTGCTGGCCACCTCCTCCACGCTGTTGAAATACTGCACGGGCTCCCGCACGTCCCGGTCCTGGTCCAGCAGCTTGAACTTCCCTGCCGGGGCAAAACCCCCACCGTGAGCGGGCAGGACCCCGGCCACGAGCCCCGACGGGCCCCAGGCCTCTGCCTGGTGCCAGAGGAACGAGGATGGGGGCCCTGCGGAGGCGGCGGGGCCACGGGGTGGCACCGTGCCTCGCAGCCGAGCGGGAGCGTGGCTGGTCTCTCGGCGGCTCTGTAGTGCAGGTTGCCACGAGGGGAGCTGTTGCAAGCAGCTGCACAGCTCCCACTTGGCCCCTCTCCAAGAGACACCCCTGGGAGCTGGGCGCTCGTGGCTGGGCTACGGGCCCAGCCTGTACATGGTCCATGCATGGCAAATAAAACCAGGACCCTAGGGCGAGTGCCAGCCCCTGGCACCCCCTGCCTCCCCCCAACAGGGCCAAGGGCTTTCCAACGAGGACCAGCCCCAGCTCCTTCTCCCCCTAGGAGCCCCCGGGCCCCTTCCCCAGGGACCTGCTGTCAGCGCCCGGCTGCCTCGCCTGGTCCTCCCCTCCCCCCGTCCATCTGTCACCGAGATGCGACCGTGTCAGCTGGGCTGGGGGCGCCGAGGGGGTCACCTAGCAACCGCCGGTGCGTGCCGTCTCCCGGCACCCAGTTCGGGTTTGCACGAGGACAAAGGATGCCCGCGGTGGCTGTGCAAAGCCCGCCGGGGCGGGGGGCAGGGCTGGAGGCAGCACCGGGGGGGCGGCCCTCGATGCCTGGCTCTGGGTCGCTGCCTGGGGCCCCTCTGCCTGCAGTGGGGGGAGGTGGGTGGAAGAGACCCCAGACCCCCTTGGTGCCCACAGCGCCGGGCAACGCCAGGCCCAGGGGGAGCCCAGGGGACCCTGGAGGGTGCAGTCCCTCTGGAGACAGACCCAGGACGGCTGGGACAGCCCTCCTGGGCTTCAAGGGCCCAGCTGGGGTCTGGACTAGCACCGCCACGTCCACGCAGCGGGGTCACAGAGCAGACGTTGCTACCCACCAGGCAGGGCAGCCCCACGGAGGGACCCGAGCCACGCGGTGCGGGTGCCACGTGACACAGACCGGGCGGGGCAGGGGGTGCTGGGAAACCATCTCAAAGGCAGACGGGAGCTGGGAGGCACCAAGGATGTGGTGCCAGGGTCCTGCCTGCACTCCGGGGAGGCTCCAGTGTCCCCCAGCCCTACACACACATGTGCACACACATGCACACAAATGGACATACATGCACATGCACGTGTGCACACACACAGACACGTGCCTACACACAGACATGCACATCAAACATGCACAGACTTGCACACACATGCAGATGTATGCGCACACGTCATATAAATGCATGCATGTGTGCACGCGCGCGCACAGACGTGCAGACACGTGTATGCACCTACACACATGCATGCATATGCATGCCCACACATGCATGCAGCCACATGTGCACGCACGCACACACAGACATGCACACACATGCACACAAATGCATGTACGCGCGCAAACAAACACGTGCATAAACATGTATGTGCCTGCACATGTACACCCACAGCTTAGGACACAGGGGAGCGCGCACACAGACATGCACACACATGCATGTACACGTGCACACAAACACACGTGCATAAACATGTACACCCACAGCTTAGGACACAGGGGACCCCGTGGAAGCAGGCCGACGGGTGATGGCATCTTTGCCGCCCGCCCACAGCTTCACACGCGGGCCTCTGGATGCTTTTCCCCACCCCTCTGCGGGGACCGGGCTTCTCCTGGACACGCGTGTGCGCACAAGCATGCACCAGTACCGTGCTCTGGCCACTGGCTGCGTTTGGACCAGAGTCTTTCAGGCCAAGTGAGCAGCCCCCTTTGCCAGCGGCAGCAGCACCCGGTCTAGAGGCACCCCCCGGGCCTGCCCAGACCCCGCAGCCCCCCGCACCAGGCAGGGGGACTCACCGGATCCCACTCCCCATGCCAGGAGGCCCCACGCCCCCAGCCATGGTGCGGCTCCAGCTACCACGTCTGTTCCTCCACTCCACGGAGATTTCCCACACCCCGTTGGCACAGAAACTGCGTGGCCCGGCTGCCCCGTTCCTGTGCTCCCCCGACACACGGATGCCCCCACCAAGCCATGGCC